CAGGCCCTGGTTTAAGAAGCGCTCTTTGAGTTCTGTTCAACCAGCTATTCTTCTTCTTAGTATCATCCTGAAAGAATTGAAAGCATCATACCACAGCGGTATATGCACACCCATGTCTATAGCAGCACAGTTTGTAATAGCTAAATCTTGGAAACAGCCCAGATGCCCTTCAGCTGGTGAATGGATAAAGAAGATGTGGTTTATTATACAGTGGAGTACTACTCTGATGTGAAGAAGGATAAGCTTGAGACATTTCTAGCTAAATGGATGCACCTTGAGGCCATTCTCTCAAGTGAAATAAGTTGGATAAACATGTAAATACCTCATTGGTTCTCCAGTGTGAGAAACCAGAAGTGTAAATAAGGACCAAAATATATAATAGATATTGGGAAATAGGGAGAAAACGTTCAAATGGGAAGGGGAACTAGGGCGGGGGAGAGGGAAGGGAAGGAAAGGAAAAGAAAAAAAATGACAAGAAAAGAAAGAAGAAAAGGAAACAAAGCTTCCGTAAATAAGGAGGGCAAGAGGGGTTGAAGGGAGGGTAGGGGAATGGGAAAAAGAATCAAGTTGTATCATGCACAGCTACAAATTCCCTATGATGAATGTGATCATTATGTATACCTAGAATGTACCAATAAATGTAATAAAGAAGAAAAGAAAAGAAAAGAAAAGAACTGCTCTTTGGCAGCTTGCTTCAGGGGTTACAGCCAACAAATGGATACATTTGTGGTAGTGAAAATGATCTTGTAAGATTCTGTGTTTGGATTTGACCAAAGCCTTCCAAGAATGGGAGCTGCTGTGGCTGACCGTGCTGCTCCCGAGGGAAAGGGTGAACCACTTTAAAGGCTCCTGGTGGAAGGGCCATCTTGGGACACAGGTGAGCTTCTACTGCTTGAGCACGAAGGCCGCCTGATTAAACCACTAATGCCTCTGCGTGCATATGGAGGGGCCCTGGGCAGGGAGGGGAAGAGGGACCGTCCTGTGCTGAGAAGGTGGCCTCTTAGTGTCTGCACGTGTCCAGCAGCATCAGATGCTTTTCAGGGGATTGAATCACTGACTTCTTAGCCCGAAGGTGAGTGAGGACATTTGCAGGTACAAAAGAGTGGTGACTCTGGTGTTCTCTGGTTTGATTAAAGGTAGGTGCAATCTGCTTTAGGGACTTCTGCAGCAATAGGGGTTTGAATAAGACCATGGGCTCCCTTCTAAATATGTGCCATTTCTAAAAGGATTTTGTACAGACAGTGAGGTGTGGGCAGGAAGGGCAGAATCTGGTCCCTAGCGATGTTTGGTAAAAATATGGTGACTAAGTGCATGAGTTGCTGGTCTCTGTTTAACACGGCAAAGAAGACTCGAGTCAGCAGAATGGGTTTATGTCCGTCTTCAGGACTAGAGGTTTGCAGCCAGCCCTCACCTCGCGTCTAGAGCTCCGCATCTGAAGCAATGATGACAGAAGCTTCTCCAAAAGCTGTATGCCTCAGAAGTTTGTCTTATCTTATTCTACCAACGTGTAAACTTCATCTGATATGAATCCTTCTTATCTCTTCCGGGAAGGTAAGTTTGGGGGCCATTTTCCTTCTCCACTTATCAATGCCAAAAAGATTTTTAGAGCAGAAATACTTCAGCGTTTAGCAAATCTTTCAAGCCAGTTGCTGCTTTTCTGCTCTGTTCTAAAACACACGTGCTCCTTTAGTGCATCTGGAAGGCACAGCACAATCAAAGGGAAAGGCTCTGCTGGTCCTTTTATTCATCTAGTAAATGACTCCGACATTAATGAGAGTCAGGCTAGGGTGCCGCTGCCTTCATTAGGCAGATCTGATACGGTTTAAAATAAAGACTGACGATGAACTTCGTGGGCTCCTCGCCCGGTTCTTTCCGGGTTTTATGTGTATACAAATCACGAGGGAGGCTTACTAACATGCAGATTCTGGTTCAGTAGGTTTGGACTGAGCCTGACACTCTGCAGTCCTACCCAGCACACTAGTGATGTCAGCGGGTCCAGCCCTGGGCCACACTTTGAATCGCGAAGAGCAAGAGAACTTCCGATTCTAAGAGATTCCCAGAAATCAGTCTGCTGGGGTGACTGATAGAGACGCCTTCAAATGACCCACCAAGGAGAGCAAGGGAAAGACATTTAATGACTTGAAAGTCAGAACCCGGCACAGAATGAACTGCAAGGTTACAGAGTACACGAGATAATATTCCATTAATTATGAAAAGGGTACACAGCAGCCGTCAAATAAGACGCCAAGTGTAAGAACGCCAGCCCCTGAGTGGGTCAGCTGTACCTCCCCAGATGCTGCCAACATCACAGTGGGTGGAACAGGGACTGTCGCAACTGGGACAAAATTCTGCTGAGATGTCCTGAAATAGCAACTTCTGTTCACTCAGAGCAAAAGACAATGTAACCGGGTGACGAGGATGGAGAATTCATGAACTTTCATGTCTGTAGCTCCTCGGGAGAAAAGAATCTTAAAAAATGATAAAAACATGGCAGGTAGAGGTAATTTTAGATGTGCATTTACAAAGCTACCCCCCACCACTGTCCTCCTCAGAGAGTGTTTCTATTTTTTTTTCTCAAAGAACTAACATATACTCAAAAGAAAAAAAGAGACTGATTTGCGCAGGGTTACTGAGAGGCTAAGCGCTCTGAGTATGGATGCTTCAGGGAAGACCTGGGTCTGGGCCTTACACACCTGAGAGCACCCCGATATCACATCCCCTATAAGGCTGATCAGGCCCAGTTCAGCGAGGGTGACTGCATGTGCTGAGAGAGTTGGAATATGTGGATTAAAATACAGAAAAAAAATGACTGCAGCTGTAGTGTCAGAAGTTTCGGAGTTATTGCAGAACTCATAGAACAAACGACCAGGACAGAACACATTTAAAACACGTACAACAGAGCTACTCTGGTTTTGGACATAATATCCTCCCAGGAGAAAAAATATAGATCGTGACCAAGATTAATCGTGCAGCATTTACTCTCATTTCCTGTAATGCAATTTCAAAGCCAACAACGGTTGTTGAACTTGCATCCCACCGTCTCATAGATGAGCCAAACCCCCTCAGACTCACTCTTTCCTAACCCAAAGAGATCCCCAGAAAGCCTGGCTGAGCCCCTGATGCTGAAGTGATGCTAAGCAAAGACCCTGCTGCTCTGATTTTCTTTCTGGTCTTTGATGATTTTTGAAGCACCATGAATTATTGTTTTATCTTTAATTTTTGCATTCTATTATTGTATCTGCATGGTAAACACAATCTTTCTATCTAGAAACACCCCACTGAAAAGGAATAAATATCATTCATTCAAATCATGAATCTTTCTAGATACCTCCAAGTCATCCTTTCCAAGTTTTAAGTCATGTTCATGCTCAAGGAAACTTTCAAAGTCATTTATTCACTTGCATTTCTTGGTAAATTTCCCTCGGCTTCCTGCGGTGTATAAGCAGAATAAGTGGGATGATGAGGTCCCTCCCTGCTACTAACGACCCAAGGAGCTTTGTCCAGGATAGCGTACATCTGTAGCCAATCATGAGGTGAAATTACCCAGTGATTTGTGCTGCTGATCATCGTATGCTCACACCAGCAGCGTTCTTTTCTTCCCTGTTTCTGGAGAGTGGGCAGAAGTTAATCCTCCGGGGGAAATGTCAGGCGTGGGTTTTGCCTCATATTTGGTTTCCTGATTGGTGGTCCAGTGAAAACTGTGTACGGTTCCATCCACTCTGTTTGGTGCTTCTCTGATGGACCAGAAATCTTTCACATGGTTCTTTATATTTCATGACCAGAAACACTGTCACTGAAGTCTTAGCGTAGAAGCCCCCTCCTGTCATACACATATGGCTTAGTTTTCAATTCCAACTTAGCACTTCCTGGTTTGTAGCTATTGCATTAAGTACCGTTCTTTGAGTCTAACTGTTCTTGGTAGAAACCAGCCCTGATTTCTAATCATGGCTATGGCTTTGACTTGTGTCTTAGTCCTTTTCTATTTCTAAAATAGCCCAGGGAATTCACTTATTCTACCCAGTGACCAATCATTGAGTAAAAAAAAGAACTGGTCAAACTAGCCACTTGACTGAGTCATTAGATTGGGATTACATTGCTGTGCAGTCTAGTTTATTACTCGTTTGCTAGATTACCGTCTTTTTAGCAGCCTAGTTACAGGAAGTTATATGTTACAAATGTGGCTGGAATCTGTAGGATTAACACTTGCAACCCCAATGGTGAACCCACACAGCTCCAAGGTAGTGTGTGCAGAAATGAGGAACTTACTGTGTGGGCTTGAAAGACGTTCAGCGGAACAGCTGCGGTCTGCCCTGCTCTGGCCAGCACCTCGCTTAGGTCATGTAGGCTGAATTTCTCAAGCGTACAATGAAGAATTGGACCATAGTTTCTTTTTCTTTTTTTTTTTTTTTGGTTTTTCTCCGGTACCGGGAACCGAACTCACGACCTTGCGCTGGCCAGGCAGGCGCTTTTGCCGCTGAGCTAAATCCCCAGCCCCTTAGTTTCTTTTTCTTTTCTTCCTTTTTGTTGTTTTTTTTCAAGACAGGGCCTTACTTTGTAGTGCAGGATGACCTTGAACTCACTAAATAGGCCAGGCTGGCCTTGAACTCAAGGCAATGATCCTCCTGCCTCAGCCTCCCAAGTGCTGGGATTACAGGCATGTGCTACCCTGCTCAGCCAGCACTTTCCCATCACATGGACAATTCCTGGTCCCTTCTCCAGCACCCAAGGACCGGTACATTCTCATCACCACTGTAGTTTCTGATACCTTTTCTAATTCTGAAGAGTGAAGACTCTAGCTTCACATGGAAATCAGCTGCTGCTTGTTGTATGGACCATTAATGGATCCTTCTCTAGATTTCTGTGCCTTTTTATTTTTGGTTTCAGAACAGTTTTATTCAATCTTATGGCAAAAAACACTTTTTAGTGACACGAAGGAGATCTTGGCACAAGACAAGGGGAGTGAATGATTAATGTGCTGGAATGACGTGAACTCATTTATGTAGCTTTGTTCTATGTGACTTTATTTTGTAATTAGCCCCTAACATCTCTTGGAGTCTGCTCTGTTCAGACACTAACGGTCTCTGCACAGGTTCCGGTTCCAGGCGAGAGAGAGTTACCTTCCCACCATGAACAAGTTAATCCCAGTGGCCCACGGGGGAGGTGATGACGTGAGGAGCTATTTTCCGGTTGAGTACACACATCTGGAACGTTTTTCTTGGTGAAGTCAACACAATGCTTTCCATTTTCATCCGCATCAATGAGAAGTGAGGAGTGGCTCTTTAGCAAGATGTAACTATGCAATAATGCGACAAAACTGGCTAACAGCACTTCCTTTATTACAGGGCTAAATACTCATTATTGTTTGTAGAGGATGAATTCATAACCTCTGCAGAGTTATAGTTCACACATGGTTGACTTCCATTTACAAAGGCAGAAAGTCCTCATTTTTCTAAATGTCACACTTTGGCTTCACAAAACTCCTGCTGCCTTTAAGATGTGTGTGTGTACTTTAAAAAAATGTTTAGCAATTAGATGGGAGAGAAAAGAACTAGTACTTGAATATGGGAGGAGGGAAAACACATTTCAGAAATTCTACACAGATAGAACCCCAAAGACTGAAGTGTAATTCCGGAAGGTCTTAAGAGAAAAGACCCACAGCATACAATTCTTTTTGTAAATGGCTCCTCCAGGAGCAGATGGGACTAGAAAGCTGGTGTCTTCATTAGGGGGAGCTAGAATCTGGAACAACTTGGCATCATTTTGTACTGCCTGGGGCCGAGGGTATAGCTCAGGGGTGCAGCGCTTGCCTGGCAAGTGGGAGGTCCTGAGTTTGATTCCTGGTAGCCCCCCTGCCCAAATGTCATACTGCAAAGATAGACTTCACTCATGCAATAAAATAAAATGAATTTTCATATAGAAAGGGCAAATAATCGGGAGCTTTTCCTTTCCTAGGGCCAAGGCCATGCTGTATGTTGTGCATTGTTCTGGAAATGGACCCAAAACTTGGTACCTACCAATGTAGCTCCCAAACAGATATTTGGGAGAGTGAGGAAGGGAAGCGAGAGGTGCAATAATTTAGCACCATTTGTAACTGGGAAAAGGTATTCCATTTAGAATGAGAGCTTACAGAGGGCAAGCTGAGAAGCACTTTCTGTTGAAGCAAGTACAAAAACTGAGGCAGTGTGGCTGATTTGGGGGCATTGTGAAACTTTTGGCTTTTCATGTTGAACGTCCAGATCTTTCTTTCAGGTCAGGCTATTGTTGTATGGGCAGGAACAAGAGCAACAGGGAGGGAGGAGGTGTAAGTCCAAAGAAGGAAAAGGGTTTCCGGGGGAAGGGAGGAGCAGGAGATCTACTTTGCTGGGTGAAGAATACTTGTAAAGGATGAGTTCTGCCATTTGCTTCCCCCAATCAGTTTGTATAAAAAGCAGAAATGCTATTTTCTTAAATACAGTTCCTTTTTAGTTAGACATGGCATTATGATATGAAAAAAAAGCAGCCTATCTACACTTTAAGCATTTGTAGGGTGAATCTTTGGCAAAATATGTGGACCTACAATAATTCAGATGGTGCTTTTTGTTTTTTTAAAAACCAGGCTAAAAAATGATGGCTTTGTAAATTTCCGAAAGCTTAAAAGTTTTCTTGTGTTTTATAATCAGGCATTCAGAGGTATATGTTGGTTCCAATAACTTTGGTAGAAACCTGCCCAGAATGGAAATGAACACGAACCATCTTGTCTTTAGGCTACTTTGGTAAGGATTTGTAAAACCTGAGTCAATTGGAGCTTCCTGAAGTAACACAAATCTACGTAAGACACATGGATGAAAACAGCAGTTTCAGGAAAAGAAAAGGTTAGTGTCGTGTTCTTAGGTTTTCTATAAGACATCAAGTAAGGCCACCAACACAGGCACCAACTTTCTCTTTTGGTTTTCCTGCGATGATTCCCATCAGTTCCACACTCGTGGGAAGGGGGCTACAAAATGCGAGGTGGCCTTCGACTTTGTCTCCAACATGCTCGGCAGCAGGCCTGTCTGGACTCCAGGCCCGGCGTTGCAGGCGCGTGTGCAGGGTGGCTGCTCTGGCTGGCAGGGGACGTGGCAGGTGGCGGACGAGGGTGCTGCTCGGAGAGCTCATGCAGGCGCAGGACTTCCTCTGTGTGGTGTCCTCCTTTCTGGCTGGAGCTGGGGTGCAGAGGCTGCCCGCCGACCTCCCTCCCCCGGGGCCGGAGTGGAGGGCGGTGCTCGAGCAACCTCAGATAACGGAGCAGCAGCTATGCCGCGCAGAGCACCGTTTCTTCTTTTTCTTGGGGTGGAAAATGGTGAGGATTGCTTCATCAAAAACTGCTTTAAGGCCTTTCTGAGTCAGGGCCGAGCATTCCAAGTAGCACTGTGCTCCGATCTTAGACACAAAAGAGAGAAAGCCATGAGGAGCAGGAAGAACAGGGAAAAAAGCCCTCTGCCGAATCCCGACTTGGGCACGGTCCCTAATCAGCCTGGGGGCTCGTTTGGATTTCTTTCCTTGTTTACAACGTGTGTCCACTACTCTAACTTTTTTTTTTTTTTTTACATTCTTATACTAGCAATACATGGTTATAGGTCACTTTGGTAAGCAATGACTTCCGCAAGTGGTCCACGGCCACTTATCTCTAACATAAGCATGTAAAGATGTAACAGTGCAAATAACTAGAAAAGGGTTCAAGGCCAGTGGTACATTTGAATTATGTTGTGAAGCACAGGCCTGCCCAGTGTTGTGTTAGCTGCTGTCAAATCCGAGCAAACTGCACCTTGAGGGTGTGGTAGGGCCAGGTATCAGGCCTGCTGATAAAGCCACAGAAAGGGAGGGGGTTTCTAGGTAGTTCTTGATTGGAATATACTTCTAATAAGATACCTTTCAGTGGCATAATCCCTGAATGGTGTTGTTATTCAGTTTCAACAGTATATATATATATATATATATATATATATATATATTTCTTTTTTTGTTTGTTTGTTGTTTGTTGTTTTTTGTTTTTTTCCGGCACCAGGAATTGAACTCACAACCTTGCGCTTGCCAGGCAGGCACTGTGCCACTGAGCGAAATCCCCAACCCCTAAAAGTATATTTTAAGAAATTAAAAAAATCCGAACGTGTAAAACCAGAAATCATAAAGTATGTGTATCTACAGAAACATATTCTCTGTCTGTGGACAGTCTATTTAAATGATAAAGTATTTTGTACTTCTGTCGGGCTTTATCTCAAAACTTTTTGAGGATTTCATTCCACGGTATGTTGGACAATCATGAATGCTCTACGAAAACCAGGCCAAAGCTATAGGCTCTCAGTGTGGATATCGTAGGTGTGAAGACCGTGTCTGGCAGTCAGCCTCATGGGAAGGACACCTGGATATTTCTCACATACTCAGTGTGAGCCAGCTATATGACATCGGCCTCTTAAAACTAAGCATATCCAGAAAAGTGCTTGCTTTTGTTTTACATTATAGGACTCATTTTGACAAATGAAACTAGCTTAGCAGAGGTTGGCTGGATGGCGAACTCCTGGCAACGCCAGCAGGTGAATGGCAAGAGTAGCAGCAAAATCCTGTGCCTGTCAAGGCCAGTTGCTTATACAAATGAATAAGCCAGGGCTGGTGGGAGGCCCAGGGGCTGGAGCGGGTGGCGGGTTGTGAAGCACATGCCCCTCTAGAGTGGTCTTAACTCCGCTCCATGCGGGAATGTTGAGTTGTGGTTGTTCCAGTTTTGTATTTTTCAAGAAGGTCTGGGAACTTAGACTTTTATTTAGTATTTACCAATTTAAAAACCTCCTGTGGAACATGCAGGATGCTGACATGGATGCACTTGGGTGTAACCAGGCAATTTGCAATGTGCAGACTAAAGAGAAACTAGTGATATTGTGTAGACCAGTGTAGGAACAGCCCCAGGGGGGAACATGGGGTGTCAACTGGAAAGTGCAAGAACTAGACCTAAACTCTGGGTCTGTCTCCTCATCAGTGTTCTTTTCCTTGATTCTTGACTGTAGCTGACCGGATGGCTTAGCTCTGCTGCAGCTGACATTCAATGCGACAAGCTGCTCACTTACCCACAAGGTTACAGACACGAACACTAAGTAGAAAATAAAGTTGTTTTGGTTGGGCCTAGAAATTATTCTCTTACTTCTCCAACAGATACTATATCCCTTTGTTGCTTTTGCGGACTGAAGGGTTACTGTGGGAGCCAAAGAGAAATACCAAAATTATGGTATTGAAACCATGGATGGGTGTTGAAAATCTGTCTTTCATTTTGACCATGGTTGGCCTTTGGGCTAGGGAATAACTTTAAAAAATAATCAGAAAGTCAGAGAATAATGTCTAGGCTCAACCAAAAACAGTAGGGAACTGTTTTTAGAGAGGAATAAAGGGCAGAGAGAATTTTCCTAGTAATGTCATTGTCACACGTGGGGGCTGTGTCTAAGCTGGGTACGAGCACATGTAAAAAGGCACACTGATTTAACGACGGGCCAACTGAAAGACCTGTAATGTGACAGCTCTTTACACTCATGCTGCAAACCTGTAGAGTGCTGTGGGGCTCTTTTATCTGGGAGACCCCCAGAATGATGATCCCCAGCCTCAGATTCTGGGGATTTCAGGAGGGCTGGAAACTCTGTTCACACTCGCCCACCCCCTGCAGGATGGGTGGGAACCTCTCCTCTCCTCCCCTCCGGCCCCCACAGCGCTGCACACAGGGCATCAGAGCTCGCCTTTTGATGATGCAGAAGGAGTCGAAACTTGTCTCTCCCAATTCTGACATTACTGAAGATAACGAAACAGCGGATAAAGGGATCATTGTGTAAGGAGGTTAACAAAACACTGTGCCTTGTGCTGATCGGTCCAGGAAAAGTCGCCAGCAGATTTTGGGTGTGAGTGGGGAGGAGTGTGAGAAAGACAATCCAGCTGTGGGATGAGTATTGTTACGTGTTTGAAGGGCTCTGAGGGTCAGAGAGAATTCATCCCAGTTCAGGTAAAAGGCACAGCCATGCTAGAGGGAGCGCTGAAGAACTCATTTGTGTCCTTCGAGATACGAAATGGAAAACTGTCTCAAGGAAATATAGCTTTTTTCGGCAGCAACTTCGTCTGCCTCTTGGAGCAAAACGATCTACTCTGTCAAATATTTCCAATCCATCGGTGAAAGCGCAGGATTCTGAGGATCCTTGTTTAGACACACAGGCCAGCAATCTGGAACATGCTTTACCAAGCTGATGTATTTCAAGGAAAAGGGAGGATATAAATAGAGGAACACTTTCTGATAATTTTACAATGGCTAAAACGTAATTGTTCCAAAAGCTGGGAAATATACCACAGATGCACAGCAGACGTAAGAGTCTGACAGACACATAAACCCAAGGGACAAGCCAGTAAAACCAGTGTAGCTCCTCTTCCGGGTGGTCCTGGCGGCAGGGGGACAGGTTATAGAATAAGATACACAGTAATGGACAGGAATGACCGCAAAGAGGTCTTCCCAGCTGGAGTCACGTCTGAGGGCTAACGTCGATTTCACTGCGCTTTGCTGCGCTAGACCTTGTAGGGTAGCTCATCTCGTCACCATAGCAACTTTGTGAGGACCGGCTTGTCACCATCGTCATTTTCTAGCTCAGGGAGCAGATGCCTAGAGAGGTTAAGTAACCCATCTGTGGCCACACATGTAAGAACACGGCAGAGATGAGCATCTGTCCATCTCCTGAGCCAGAGTCTTAATCATTCTGCCTTGCTGTCTCCAGCAAACAGAAAGAAATTGTGCCTGAGAGACAAAAAGTACCCCGCAAAAGACAAAAAACCCCTAATGAATCAAAGGAGGAGTGTTGTAGACTTAGGCAGGGAGAGAGAAGGGAAGGGAGAGAGAAGGGAAGGCAGAGTGGGGATTCCCCACCCGTGAACGGAGGAGAAGGGGTCAGAGGATCTGCAGGTGAGGTGGTGTCTAAAGGAACCGCCAGGCACAGAGAAGTTCTTTAGTCCTGATTTGAGATTAGAGGTGGACAGAGAGCCAAGAAAGGGAACAAGAGCCCAAGGGATTGTGGGGGAAATTCTTTTCTTTTTCTGCACCGGGAACTGAACCCACAACCTCACACCTGCCAGGCAGGTGGTGTGGTGGAAATTCTGTTTTAACCAATCAGTATTCATCAATTGCTGAAAGAGGAAGAGCCTTTCAGGGTTTGATGTGTTTTTTTTTCAGGACTCTAAAGATGCTAGCTCTAGGGTACATGGTATGAGTGCACTGCTCGGGTACAGGATGGTACAGAGGGGTGGAACTGGGGCACCTTGTCTAAAAGACTGAAAGTTTCAGGTAATGAGGACATTCTTGCTTAGAGCTGCCAGATGTGGAAATTTTTTAGAAGCCAGCAATACCATATATATATACATTTCCAAAGTGCTAAATGTTGGCCACTAAATTGCATAAAAATACTGGTATAAACTGATCAAAATATTTATGGGTATAATGTGACCCATCAGGTTGCCAGCTGGCTCCTTGTGTTTTTTTTTTTTTTGTTGTTGTTGTTGTTTTTCTTTGTCCTTTTGAGACAGGGTCTCTCTATGTAAGTCAGGCTGGCCTTGAGCTCACTTTGTAGCCCAGGCTGCAGAAGGCCAGTTTTGAACTCGCAGTGATCCTCCTGCCTCAGCCTCCCAAGTGCTGGGATTACAGGTGTGTGCCCGGCAGCTCCTTGTGTTTTAAAGGATGCTTTCGAACATTTTGGCCTCTCTGTCTGGAGTCTTTATCCCCCTCCCTCTAACTTTGTCCACCTGATAAACTTATCCTCCTCTTTGATAATACTTGCTTTGATGTCAACTGCTTTAAGAAATCTTCTCCGAGCCCTCCTGCCCCACATGTGTCTGTCACAGTCCCCTCCGCCACTTTAGTGGTACGGTAGAGTCCAAAATGGATCCAACAGCTCGGCCCATCTGTTTGCCTGTCTCCTTCCTCCCCTCGAGTGTGGGCCTCTGTAACCCTGATGCGAGTGGTGAGGGGCTGGCCTTCTGCAGCCTGGGAAAGGGGTAATGACAGTATGTGAAACAGAGCCGGGCGTGGTGGCACATGCGGGTAATTCCGGCACTCGGGAGGCTGAGATGGGAGGATCATTGTAGCCTGGGCTACAAAGTGAGCTCAAGGCCAGCCTGAGCTGCACAGTGAGACCCTGTCTCAAAAAAGACAAAAGCAAAAACAAAATAAAAAAACATGAAACAAGATGGGCCCTGTGGCTCCTTCATTCAAGAGCCATTCAGACCCCAGGTGATCGACATTAACAGAACACTGATTACTGGGTTTTGCTGCTTTAAATCCCACCCGTGTGTGGTAAAAACCCAGCAAGAAAGAGGTGCTAAGGTAAAGGGTGATGACAACGAAAGTCACCCAGAGAAGAAGATGACAAGAGCGGGCAGAAGATGGATAAAAGGGAAGTGGGCAAGGGTTGTATCTGGAAGTACCTTGGGAAGCCTGGACTTAGAAAGTCCTGCGGCGGTTGAAGCAGACAAATTGAGAGGGAGAAATCACAAAGGATTATCACCCGAGAATGAGCACCTGGCCCACGGGAGGTGTTTAATCAGTGATCAAATAAACCTAGCAGCGGTGTGGGTGTTTGGAGATGTGTGGACCGGGAATGAAAAACCAGCCATAACAGGGATGCTAAATCAAGTTAGAGAAAACAAAGATTACTTATTATACACGGACGTGAAATAGTTGTGTAAGTGCGGTTGCCTTTCCAAGGCAAAGAATTGCGTAACTGTGAATACTGAAACCATCTTTTAAACAAATGCCCTTTGACACAAAAAAGAGAAGACAGATGAAAAACAAACTGCAGACGGAGAAGCGCTTAACAGAGCAGAGCAGATGTGAGAACTCTGAATTCGCAAAACACTTAAGTTTTGGGGAGAATAGGCACGTTAAAATGTGGCCTTCAGTATATTAAAAAAGACCCCAGACCTCAGGGTTTCTTTTCAGGTGATGGTTGGGAGGCAGAAAAGCGTGGTGTTTATCACAGCCTCGCTCTGTTACTATCGAGCTGTGTGGCCTTAACCTCTCTGTGCCTCAGTTTCCCCTAGCAAAGCAGGGATAAGAATACACACAGCTCAGGGCGTGCTGTGAGGATTAATTAAGATGACGCGTGTGGAGCACTTGGCTGGCGGCCTGCGCTCCGTAAACACTCCGTAATGCTGCCTGTTATTATAAACCACTTGACAGGCGAGTCAGAGAGCAGCGAAACTTCAAACATCTCTGTAATTACACGAATTGTGATGAAACAAGTTAAGATCTTGCTTGGTTTTCTTCTAAATTGGATTCTGGAAGCTAAACGTGCTTCTCTCTGTGTCTGAGAGCAGTTGCTAGGGGAAACTGGCAAAAGGCAATAAAGTGGTGAACTCAGCCATTGTTCCCAAAATAAGTCTGAAATGAGATGGGCGGCTTTGGAGTGACTTCTTTTTAGAGAGGGGAAAAACCCCCCAACAAAACCAACTTCCCAGCTGACAGGACGAGATGGGAGACAGGCCCGGAAGCAGGGAACACTGACAGCGCGGTCCTGCAGAGAGCTGGGGCCGCGCCAGCCGGGAGCTCCTACTGGGAAACGCGCAGAGTTACTTGTGGAGCGGGGCGTTTGTGTATGTTAATGAGAACACTCTGGGCTGGATGTTTGAGAAGGCGGAAGGACCCAGAGATCCATACCCGTTCTCCTGGAAGAAAAAGACAAGGCTGGAAAAGAGACAGTTTAGAGAATGACTATAAAGTCCACAGGGTTGGGTTAGAAATTATTTCCTCTCTCCCTTCCTATGTACTGGGTGGGAACCGTACCCAGAGAATCCTGTGCTATCTCCCCAGCTCTTTCCATTTTATTTTGAGGCAGGGTCTCACGGACTCGCCTAGGTTGCCCTTGAGTTTGTCATCTTCCTGCCTCTGCAAGGAACACCGTGCCCAGCCTGGCACTGCTCCTGTGGAACCAAAATTTTATTTAATTCATTTTAGCTAAGTGCATCATACTTATTTTTGTGCCTGTAATCAGGTTTTTTAAAGAGAAACATACATCTTTGTTAATGAAGACTTTGTAGTTGTGGTTATTCTTCACCCGCATAGACAAGGCTACGCTGACTGCCTGGGGCTTGCATCTTGCAGGACTTCTTACTTAGAAAGTAAAACAAGGATTTTAAAGCCTCCTATTTGGGTTGACAGATTTGTGACTAAATCAATGAGGAAATGGATTCAAGTTACAGAAATGTGGTTTCTCAGCCTCGTCTTGGATAAAGCACTTCCATCCCTTCGCGTCTGCTTCAGTAGCTGTTTTGCTTACACCTTGGTGATAACAGGAAAGCAAAGATTTGGTGTCCGGCAAATGCTTTCTGAAATGCGTCCTCAGCCAAATCACTATGCAGTTAGACTCCGAAGAAGAAAGAGGTCTGCGAAAACTGTTCTAGCTTCAAGCCAGTTGTCTTTATTTCTCAAGCAGCCACTTGGATTTCCCAGGCGGTTACTTCTCGGTGTGTATTATGTTTCTGCGTGCTGTGTGTGACACAGGCTAGCTTGTAAGCGGCTGTTCGTTATATGATGAGGAATACTGAGCAAAAGGAACCCTGCCAGATGCTAACCTAAGTCTCTCTGAAGAAAACCACAGAATGCTGCACATGGGGTCATTTAAATGAATTACAGCGCTCCTAAGCAGTGAGATTTACAAATACACTTCTAAGCCTCCCTTCAATTCATGGATGTATGGCAAGGTGTTCTAGAGGTTGCTGAATCAGATGCTAAGTGCTCCAGCTGTTTAAATTCACCAAGTTTCTCTCCTAATGATAAACAGACAACACAGGCTGACAAGAAAGCTAGCCAAATGGTCCCTTCCGGCCTTTCTCATACAGAGGGGAGATGTGCATCCCGCTCATTCTAAGGCACATGCCAAACTCTCCTCTCAGCATACACGTAGAATTAAATCCAAACCCAACGTACCGCTTTTGCAAGCTTCACGCCATGCTCGTAAGTGAGAGGTTTCTCCTTCATATACAGCAGACGGGCCAAGGTTTTGGGGTCATCGCGCAGATCGATCTAGCAAAAAACACACACATGTGGTTAACTTATTTATTTTTTCAAGCCTTCTCAGTTATTTTAAACTGTGGTCTCATAGGGTTTCTTTTCTCCTGGACATCTTTGAAGTGGGTGAGTCTTCAAGAGAGCACACACTTGTCCATGTTATGTCTAAGAGGGTCAAGTGAGTCCTTTGTACATGGACATACCAGGATGTCCTTGTATTTTCTCCTTGGAAGCAGTCCCCCTGTGTGCTGAAGACTTCCTTTAATAATTCCAGAGCTGGCTGGTGTTTTTGGAATTTTTTGTTTATTTCTAGATTTCACTGGTAGGGCACACAAGAGGCTCAGACACTCATGTTATCTTCTAGGGATGACTTATTTGATCCCAAATTACATTAGATGATTATATTACTTACTATCTAATGCTTATTTCCTGTATCTGGATACACCTTATTTGTTTGTTTGTTTTATTCTGTTTTGCTTTTCCAAGTCAGAACTTCTCCCTACCTGTGAGACTATTCTAACAATGTATTGTAGGCTCGGGCAGGCAAGTCCCAAAGAGGGGTCTCCAAATGATTTGCTTAATGAGTAACCATTAATTTTTTCAAAGGTAGAGGTGATTTGACAGTAGGATGCATTAGGTTTGAGAATTTAATATTTGGCTGCTTTAAAATGTCACTATAACAAAAAATGTCACTATGTATGGTAACCTGCATGTGAGCACACAGGACTTAGTCTTAAAGAAAAAGCAATATATTTGTATGTTAGGGTCCCATTAATAAGCGTAATACTCAGGTCTAATAAGCGGTGGGGTTTTTTTGGCCTCAATTGCTCTACCTAATGCCAATCGGTTGAAAAATAGACTCAAATTGTACTAATGTGTTTGAGTATCCCAGCACGTAGTTTGGCAGCAGGGATCCAGGCTCCATCGATATGGATAAATATTATCATCCGGAATTAAGGTGATATACTTCACTTAAACAAACAAGCGATTATCTTTCAGAGCAGAAGCGTTCATTGTATTCTGACTTATGACTCTATGAATTGTACTTTGTCTCTCTGAGAGGGACCACATATCACCCTGTATCTATCCACAACTTCTTCAGAAAATATTTTTCTTTCTCTGATGATTTTTAGAAATCTCACTTGTCAAGCAGAACATAAAACAAGAAATATAAAGAAACAGCATATGAAACAGATCACGATAAATCCCTTCATTGTTCCTGGAATAGTAGTTTGGATTTTAAAAAAGCAAAGAACAAAATCCCTTTAAGACCACAAAGTGGGGATGGTCTTTAACGTATCTGTGCAACTGGCTTACTGCGGGAAATTCAACCTATGAAATTTTATTAGCTTTTGAAACACTTTAAGGGCCTTTCCAATACAGGTTTGTGTATCTTGTATATGCGTTTTAACTTCTTTTATGAGCTCTGGAAGATCCAGGGCTTTAAGGAGAACAGAGCAGTGTAGTTCTGTCTTCCTTCTTCCAGGAGTCCTGCCATAATATGCCCATTCTCACTGTGGGGGTCATTTTGACACTCAACTATTTTGCAGTGTTTAAAACAACCCTGGATTTTAGCTACAAAATAGTAGATAATATCTGTAACTCACACCATCCCTTCATTACTCTGATTCAGCAGAGTTGGGGAAGACTGTCAGTTTGAAAAAGTTTCTTTGGGAGATTAATTCTTACCGGGCCATATCAAAACTTTCTGCTCCACATTGAACAGTTCTATTATCTTTTCAACTATGGGCTAAATAATCGTCTTAAGCACTTCTGCTCCTAGGAGTACTGCGTCTGAGACTCTTCCATCACGTTTGGCAGAATGTGTTGCTTGTCCTGTGCTTGCTTCTTTGCACCCCCTCCCCCCAATCACCCACACTTTAACCTGGGTCCCTATGAGGACATAGGGAACGTGAGGCATGCAGTCCTTCAGCTCCGGGACCCACTCTTCCTGGACGTTGTGGTAAGAGGCGGGGTTTACGACGGAGAAGCAGATCAGGAACACGTCGGTGTTGGGATAGGAGAGCGGCCGCAGCTGGTTGTAGTCCTCCTGTGGGAAGAGCAGACCAGTTTGTAGCGCCTGAGTCAGATGGACAGGAGGTGGCTCTGGGAGGCCCACGACACCAGTGCTCTGAGATCCGGTTCCTTCCCCAGCCGGGAGTCTGGTGGTCTCTATTGCTAGACTTAAAGGAGCCCTCTGTCAGGAAACATGTTTTTGTTGTGTATGGAGATTACAGATTGCCCCCATTCGGGATGAATTTAGAAACTATTTAACAGATTTATTGAGCTGCACTTTATATAGTATAAACTTCACCCACAGATTTTTAATGTTTTACAAATTGTATATACGCAGGGTGTAAAACATGATGTTTTGTTATGCACCTAATACACGGCAGTCAAGGAAACTATCCACCTCCTCACATGGTTATTTTTTATTTATTTATCTTTTTAATGGCGAGACCCCTGGAATCTACTCTCAGCAAATTTCGAGTATGTAACATGGATATTAACCATGGTGCTTGTACTGGGTACATTCGCTCTCTACACTCATTTATCCCATTTAGCTGCAGCCTTGTACTGACCAATATCTCCCAGTGTCCCACCCCTGAGTCCCTAGGAACAGTGGTGCCGCTCTCCACTGTGTATTCCAAAGTTCACTTATTTAGTTTTTGTCTTTTGTCTACATAGCAGGGTCTCGCTATGTAGATCAGCTGGCCTTGAGCTCACTGTAGCCCAGCCTTGCCTCGAACTTACAGTGATCCTCCTGTCCTATACTCCAAAGTTCACCCATTTAAAGGGCATAATCCAATAAGAACTATCCAGTTCTCCCGCTATGTTGGTATTGTGATATATAGGACAAAGATTTAAATTAGCAGGTCACTGACTAAGGCAAAAAAATCCTCTCCTTATACAACTAAAAAAATTGTTTCCCAGTTTACTTTGGAATAAGCTAAAGTACAAGCAAAGAACTTAAATTACACAGCACAGTTCTTAATATATCCTTGATGTGTCCTTATCTCCCATCCTTCCTCCCTCTTATTTCCTTCCTTCTACTTTCATGTCATCTTTTTTTTTCAGAGCCCACAAAACGTGTTACAAGTTTTGTGAAGCGGGTTTATCTCACTTCACGCAGTGATCCATCCATTTCCCTTCCTTACGACATGCTCGTGTTTCTCTTTAGGACTGAATACTGTTGCATCATGCATATCCCATATTTCCTTTACCTATTCATCCGCTGGTGGGCACCGAGGCTGGTTCTATACCTCGGCTAGCGTGAATTGAGCCATAGCAAAGGTAACAGGGTCTTCGACAGAACAGTTGGGTAAAGGTTTAGAGCTAAGAATTTGGGACTTGGACACAAATTAATCCAAAATCCATAGTGTGACAAGCACATAAAATGCCACCTTCTTCTTTTCCCAGGGATTTTTCTGATCAGAACATGCTCTGGTGGAAGAGTTTCTAGTTCCATTTCTGTTGAGGTAGTGGGAAATAATAAATGCAAAGTAAAAACATGGCATTATTTCCACTGTGGAAAAATGTCAGGTGTCTTTTGTCAGGTAGACAAATTGCTTTAGGAAGCTCCAAGAGAAAATCTGCTTTATTGATAAAGTTTTATATATTTTCATAGAATTTAGAGATACATAAGCCAAAAGTAACTTTGTGAATATACACACATGTCCTGCTAATGTATACATCACATACTGCAGCATGACGTATGCGCCGTATCTATGCATAACATTCAGATTTGTGGGTGTGGTACAGTACATATATGCACATGCTGTATGTGAACATGCATCACGAAACCTATCACACATGTATTCACAAAGCATTTATTAGATCCCTGACTTCTCTTCCTAGCATTTAAAAGATTATAAGGCACATGTGCTTATTGCAAAAATGCAGACATTTCAGAAACACATAGATGGAAGGAAAAGTTTGTTTTCATTTTAAGTGATCTCTAAATACTTTTCCTTTCCCAGAAATCGCTACCTCCCAAAGTTATACTTCCAAACATTTGTAGGTATATGATATACACATTTAGCTTAAAAACGTAGATTAATTACACAGTTCATACTGTTGCACCACTTATTTTTTATTTATTTATTTTTAATTTTTATTATTATTTTTTGGTTTTTCTTCCAGTACCAGGAATCAAACTCACAACCTTGCGCTTGCCAGGCAGGCGTGTGCCACTGAGCTAAATCCCCAGCCCCTTGCACCACTTATTTTTAAAAAATAATGTGCCATAGGTATATTTTTAATATCACCTTTGGTGTCTTTCTACTGCCTCTGCTGTCTTTATAAAAAGGAGTGCGCACATGTGTACACATATACATAGGCACACGTGACCCAAGCAAGTGCCTTAGCGTGTCGAACGTGGTCTTTTCCGGCGGGAGAGCACACAAGGATCTACTCAAGTAAGCAAAGGTTTAGGTACTCAAGAAAAGTGCGAGGCAAGATGCAGAAAATAGAATCCTAAGAAATAAACCAAACAAATCCTCAAAAATCACAGCTGTTATGGTGGCTTCTATACCATATTTCTATTAAAGCAAATAATTGGAGATTGGGTGCACAACTGAATAAATGTTGCTCATACCGGGCCTGCTCTCTGCACCGCGGCTGAGTTGTGCTCTCGTCCGCGTATGTGTTACAGGTGTTGTGGGCAGACCACGGGGAAGGCAATGACTGGTCTGTGGCCCTCTCCTGTACAACGAGCCCTGAGCACCACCACACTTTCTCTCCCTTGGACTCTCTGCCTCTCTCCTTTCTCTCTGGAATAATGCCTCAGAGAGCAGCTCGGTAAGACTTACAAGCTGAGAAATCGTCGCGGCTGTAATCTATAACCATGCATGGTACTACCTGTCCCCGGCCACTTGGTCCTCCCATCCGGATCATCACAAGTGGATCAGGGACCACACTGCCACCTGCACCCAGTTCACAGAAAATGTTCCAGTGGTCTCCAAATGATGACGCAGTTCTTCTGAGCCATTTACTTCGGTGGCTTCTCTTAGAACTACGGAGAGCTTTTAAAATATTTTCATGCACGGCTGATCAACTGCCTCCCCCAACTCCTTTCCTACTCTGGGACCAATAAAATCAGAGTCTCTGGAGAGTGGGCCTGGCCACGTGGGAATCCTGCGTGGGCTCAGAGTTGAAAACAGGTGGTTTGTATCATCACCATCTTCACTATCAACTGAGAATGTGTCCAGGGCTTATTACCAAGAACTAAGTGTGAGCTCAAGGGCTGGACAAGGTTCTAGACAGCTAGTAACATGGCTCCAACAAGGTGATAAGCTTTTAACATTACTGTGTGATTTTTTTCATACTGGGGATTGAAGCTATTTGCATGTGTGTGTGCCTGTGAAGCCAGGCATTTACTGTTACTCAGCAGACATGTATGTTTTCTTGTTTATTAAACTTGAGCTTGTGTATTTTGTAAAATAATTGAATAAGTTAAAATATAAAAAGGAAAGGAGGCATTGTTACTTATATAGATCAACTCTATTACATATTTTATATGCAGCCCATGACAAATCCTCTTTGCTCAGGATGGTGAGGCAAGTCAAAGGGTGGGCACCTTGTTTAAAGGCTCTGTATGCACCACCTCGTGGTATTTACACAATGGCACTGGAAAGATGGCACCGTCACCATCCCAAATTTCACAGAAGAGGAAGCTGAGAGAAAATTCCTAATGGGCCAACTCTACAGAGTTATTAGAAACCAGATACAAGTGCCGACATCCAGATCTGTCTCTTAGCTGTGACGATGCTGCTGTTATTGCTCAGAATTGTATGGGGTAGATTCGGCATTTTCTTGAACTTAATTACACAGGAATCAGTGTACACACAGGCATTACCCAGGGATCTGAGGAAGTGAGACCGCTGGTACATCTGAAGCTGGCATCTGCTTGAAATCACCACAGGATGGCAGCAAACACTGTACATTGAAAACCCAAAAGTCCAAGACAAAAAACACAATCCGGAGAAGTGACAGAACCGGAAAAGGCAGGAGCACAGAGAGTCTGAATGGTTCGGTTTGTTTGATTCTCTACCCAGCCACCGTCAAGGAAACTGCTTACATTCCGGGAAAGTCACGCAGGCCACAGTTTGCTGATGGGAACCATCTAAGGCAAATAGTGACCGGCAATCAAATTGGAGAAAGGAAAGGAAAATACACGAGACAAGTCCATTTATGGGAAGTGAGACAGGTGATGTGTTTCCCTTACATGTTGTCGGGGAATTTGATAATGCGGAGCGTTTATCTGATTGAACCGGAAAAACACAGTGTCAAGGGTAGAAGAGGATTTGAAGATGAGTTAGTGCTGTGGTTTCCAAAGCATGGTCTTGGGCCAGCTGCGGGGTCCACACCTAGGAGCCTGCTAGGAATGGGCCACCCAGCCCTGCTCAGGGCGAGACCGGGAGAAGAGCCAGAAACTTGGGCCTTCACATGCTCCAGGTGATTTGGGAGTAGTCAGGCTCCAGGACCAAGGGTCACTATTCTTCCCGCTCTCCCTAATATCGGGCGGGTATCGACAACTTCAGAAACCCATACCGGGCAGATGGATTTACACAGGACTACAGAGCAACAGTGCTCCAAAGAATGCTTTTATCTGAGGGGCAGGGGCTGAGCATCAGCTGTGGCTGTGAACGAGGTAGGGGTTCAGGATTAATAAAACTCGGGACTGGGCGCCGAGGGGATGGCAGTTTGGGGATTTGAATTCACACCAGCAGATAGACCGGATGACTTTTTGATGGAGCATGCTGTCACCCTGGGTGGGGAGATCTCGTATTCAGGTGACGGCAGGGGCTGTGGGGAGAGTCTAACGTGTTCAGCCGGTGTGGAGGCCCCTTCTAAGGCTGAGAAGGAGGTAGGAAGACGGGCGCGCACGGGCTTCATGAGGAGCCATTTTTTAATATGTAAAAGCCTGTGGATGGGCGGGGGACTAACATGGACCCAGGGGCTGCGGTTGGAGTTGGAGTGGTGAGGGACTGGGGGAGGGGGGGCTTTCCAGTGCTTTCTACCCACTTCACTGCAAAGGCAAAAGGATGT